AACTCCTCGATACAGGCACGAGCTTTACATTTAACGGTTCGATGAATTATAGTAAACTTTATTAAAAAGTAATTGGAAGTTATAATACCTCGTAATAATCGAGTACTATGTGTGAAATGTGAACATCAACAGGTAGAAACCAGCAAGCTATTTTGCACGAGATGATTTTCAATAATTGCATTAATAATAATTTACCTATTAATAATTGAGCGTCGAATCCGGGTAGCTTCTTAAATTCGGATTAAAATTTATTTCAACTAGAAATCAATAAGCGGAGACTAGAAAGCTATTTCCACGTCGAGTTCTACCGTGCAAGGATGGCTTTTTCGAATTTCGTGCCACGGCGAGTAGGTCATCGGAACATGCACGATCGCTCCCACCGATTATTACGCGTTGCAGCGTACGAACAATAGCCGCGGGCTACGAATTCGAGGAAAAATGCTATGTTTATTCTCTCCTTTTTTTTTTTTTTTTTTTTTTTTTTTTTATTTCGTCGTCGCGTTCGATACACCGTGACGAGGTGTGTCATCCGCGTAATTACGTTCGAATGAAAAAGAGGAAGAGGTCGCGACCGGATTCGTAGCGTCAAGGAAATCAACTGTGGAATTACTTCTCGTCGTTGAATATCGCGTACGCGCTACGACTGGCAAAATCGTCCTTCTTCCGTGAGCAGGCTGCATAATTACTTTCATGAGAACGTATTTTGTGCGACGCCTTCCAAGAATCGCGTAGCGTCGACGGACCGTGATTTTTATTTAAGGCGGCCGCAGCTTCTTCCGTCGCGACGACAGTCAATTTTCCACTTCGATCCTTCGTCCTCCGGGTCACGATCCTTCCACGAACGATCCCACCAGTCGATGCTACCGATCGTACGTAACGAATACAGCCCCCGGTTCGAGCATTCGAGGTGTTTTTAATTCGGCTCTGCCAGCGCTGCCGCTACAATTACTCAATTAAATTGTTTAGAAGCGAGTTAAACGATTAAACGAACGCCGCCGAGCGACCGTCACGGTGAAACTCTACTCCGCGGTCTACAATTAAATTTAAAATATCAGAACTTCGAGAACCCTGCGTTTCTTAAATTGCGCGTCCATTATTTTTTCTCCCCCTCGAAACCTCCACGATATTGTTATTTTTTATTGGCGGATAGAAACGATAGGTGTTTGTTTTTTTATCATCGATGATTGTACTTGATAGCAACTTAACATATTTAGATTTGTAGGAAGAATATGAAATTTAAATTGTTTGAAATATATATCTAACGATGCAACTGCGTAACACTTCGTCGACTTGACGTTCCTGGATAAACATTGATGTTGATTTAGAGCGATACGATTGTATTATTCTAGTGTAGTTAGAACGGATGCAAGGTATGCCTATACGTAGCTTGCACGTAATTTTTCCGCCAATTTAGTAGACTCAGGGACTGATCCGGTCGCAATTTATAGAATCACTCTGTACAGCTAGTACAGTGAGCAGAGAGGAACGCTTCCGCAACGTTACAAATGCTTTGCATAAATACTTGATTCGACACCTGAAGGTAAATAGTCGGTATCGATTCAACTGATTTAAATTTGAAGCGAACCACCTCGCCGAGGCACCGCGTACCGAAACATTAATCAACCGACCGAACAGAGACTTACAAATAGCTAACAATTTACACGCTACCGCATCTCGTAGGGTCGCTGCATTCGATTCCAAAGTGGAAACGCTGTAACGAAAGCAAGTGCAATGTCTGTAATCCTCGTTTACACGATCCGCTGCAAAACTGGACTATTTTCAACGCTCGTTTCTGTGATCCATTTGGCGAGACGAACGTTCCTAGGTAAAATTCGATCCGCCATCGTTGGCGGTGGAAAACAGAGGATAATTGAACGAGTTCGATCACGAAGGGCGGCGATTTTTCAAATAAATACACCGTCCTTGGCAGGCAATTTTTCTTTCGCGGCGAACGGTTGGACGCCTCTGGGTGGTCGGAACTCCGAAACATTCGACCAGGAAGCCGATCTTATGGAAAAAAATCACGCGAGAAAGAGGCCGTGCATCGTCACGGACTCTGTCAGGAATTCTTCCTCTTTGTCTCAAGGTTACTGTCGCTAACAATCGCTCGTTTGTATTCTAGCTGGCTTTCTACTTCGCGTGTTGCGTTTCGTCTTCTACGGCCAAATACGTTTTCGTCGTTATCGCGCGCGAGCACGTGTTGTCGGATCGCTCCACGAACGTCGTGTTTATATCTAACGTCCTCAAATCGAAAACTTGGACATAAATTTACGTACCGGTGTGCTCAAACCTGATACACGACTCGATATCCCAGATTAATCGCTGTATCATTAAATGCATCGTTGAAAGAATTCAGCGGTTACGGCATTTTGTCGTTGATTGCCAAGTCCTGTCATCCTATTTGGATTTAACGACTCACGAAGGTCGCGAGCACACGTCTCACTCGATATTTGTACAAAATGAAATGTTGCATAATACCGACTGGAGATCTTGGAAACGTTAAATTTAAATCGACTCGCGAGAAATACTTCTGCTGTGCTTGTTTAATAATTATCACATTCTTGGTAACAACAGAATTTATTACGGGTCTCAAGGATTTCGAAACTCATAATTTTATCCCTTTTCTTTCAAGAAATCAGTCATCAAACTAGACTGTCGAAGTAGGACACTCGAATTGTAAAGGTTCGTTAAATAGTTTACATATGTGAAACACATGTCAAAGTACAAACATAGCCATACGAATCATCGTTTGGATAACCCTCGTACTGTTTTAAGACTGTTTAGGTTTCCATCACATGTTTTGAGTCATCAAATATTTTAGCTCGATTACCATAACTCCGTAGATAAAATGAATCCAATAAAAGCATGATTTGCCAGCTTGCGTAAACAAGGAAAGTAACCTTATTAACCGAACGATCCGATGCACACGTTCTGCGAATTTGTATCGACGATAAAACGTGTCGAGCCACGTGCTGTTTCGCGGCTTGGCTGTTCGTTTGGGTCCGTAGTCACGGTAGCGTGATTTCAGAGAAATTTCGCAACGCTTTTTAGACGGACCGTGGCGGAACGAAGGTCGACGCAGGATCGATCGAGCAGGTAGAATTCGTTTCGGAATGGCCGGTAGACGGTTAGCTGGAAGGAACGAAAGGACGCAGAAATCGGTGGCAGAGAAGCCGATGGGATTGCAACGTCCGGCCCGGCGTCGTGCTTACGAGCATTAATCGGAGGTCATCCTCGTAAGTGGAAACAAGGAATTTCATTTGTAGGAGGGCCCAGAGGAGCGAGATAGTGTTGTTAATTTCCGGCGCTTTGTTCCTCGCGAGCGCTATGGTTGTCCGTTTGATTTCCGGCACGGTGCCCGCTAACGCGTTTCGAGTTAAATAGAAAATGCGAGAAAGGAAAGAAATTCGAGCGACACGGTTAAATCCGCGGCCCAATTACGCCCGTATCGTCCTCCGAAAGCAACATGTGTGCGATATTGCCCACAGAAACGAACAATTTCGAACCTGCAACGATCCGAATGGCGCTGAATATACGGGCACGGGACTTTCTCCGCTCCGCTCCGTAAATGGGAAAAAGTATTTTAACATAATCTAACCGCGGTGTTTCAAAAGCGAATTCGAGACTTTAGAGGCTCGTGTTATTTTCCTTTCTACCGTGTTATTTATCCTTGGTAATCAAGTTTTCGAGCATTCTGAATCTGATCTTCGTTTGTATTACCGATAATCGCGTTACAGAACCTTTGAACTATCGTACTTTCGAAGGAAATCTTCTGTTTAGGTTCAATGTATTGCGAAGAGACGATATCGAGAGCCTCGTAGATTTTAGACGATTCGTTTTAGTGTCTACTTTGATTATTTTTTATTTCTTTCGAGCACGATTACTTTGAGACTAGACAGAAATTACACTGCCCACGTATCCTTAGCTCGCAGCACTGCATTCTTGTTAACTCGAGACTGAATTTATTCTATTTAGACGATTCGACGTACATGGAAAGCTGTGGGACGTACAATAAGTTATACGCACGAAACGTTTGTTCACGCTGACTTCCGTTTCCGAGAAATATGTGTTTGAATATTGTTGCGATAGTTCGCGGACGTGTCAGCAAACGAGTTATCGCTGCACTAACGATCTTGACGTTGTTTATAAATATGTAGAAATAGCTGAGCTAGAATAAACGAACTACGCAGATTATCGCTAAATAAGTGCACGCGTATTTAACAAACTTCGTCTAAAAAATTGCTGGATGGCTTTTGAGAAGCACTATAAAAGTCCAGAAAATCGAGGAAAAAAAGAGAGAAGATTAGACAAAAGTCCAAGGCTAAAACTGGCTCGGTTCTCGCGAGGCGACCCGAACCAACGTTGCACGACGAGTTTTTAAAAACCAGATTTCGACTTAGTCTATAAATGGCACTGACGGAACATTAATTACTCGTTCTGTCGCCGTTTTGAAAAACACCTACGAACTGTCAGGCAGAAAATTAGATAACGATATCGTTCGCAACTAGACTAAACTTTGTATTTGTTAGACGCGAATGAAATTTGTCTGGTTCCGGTCAACGATCAACAAACGCTTATCTCCACGCATTAACATACACATGCTTCGATGATACTGCTCTTACCAGTATCTATAATAAACATTCACATTCCCTAATACCAAATTTGACATTCGAACTCGTTCGATCGAATTTAAAATCAGATTTTTAAATATCTTCCGACTATGGACCATTCTTTTCCATTTCGTGGATCTACGATCGACGATACGAGCGCGACGCCTCGCGAACGTGACTGCATCGCTCCCGACCCATCGCTTGCACGTGATCCAGACTCCGTCCCGTCCGTTTCGCCGCTATCCCGGTGAAGTTTTATGAATTTACAGAATCCCTACCACGCGTGGTCTCGCTTTTCTCCCGTATCCCCACCGTCCTGGCCATCGTCGTCCGAGTAGGGGACTCTATTTAAAGAGAACTTTGACGAATGGTCAGCCATAACGTTGCGTTGCACGGTCGCGGTCGAGAGTCGCACTTGGACCGTATTGGAACCAGCGAGAACGACCGGGATCCATCGTCCAGAGCACTCATTCCACGAGAACTCGCGCTATTCCGCCCGACAAAACGATGCTGAGGGAAACGATTCTCGTTTTCGCGGCTTTGCTCGCGCTGGTCCACGCCACCGTAGTCAACAAGTGCGACGGCAGTGGTGGGTAGAAGGAATCCTCGACATTATCGACGATTTCCAACTTCTTTCGTCGATCCGCGCGAAAGTTACCCTGTGGTTCTCGAGATTCAAGTTTCGCGGTTCGATCATCGGTTTCTGTTCGAAAGTAGACGTCGTTTCGTGGGTACATGTATCTGCTAATGTGAAAGTTTGTAAATCCGTCTCGGTCGTCGCGAGCAAACGAGATATTAGACGAGCATCGCGAGTTCCCTCGAAACGCGCTGACAGGTCACGATCGGGCTCGAGTGATTATTAAATAATAACGCTTCGTGAGAACGCTTGTTGTTTTGGTCCGTCGCGGACACCGTGTTTCGACGAGTAACTCGGACATTCTTTAAATAATCAAGTTACGTATCTTTGGACGACTTTTAAAAATTCTAAATTAGCAACGATGATATTTTTGCCACGGATGAATTCGATTCCGCAGACGTTCCGAGCGACGAAAACTCGGTAATCTCGTTATCGATGGCGGGATTGCAAAACACTCGGTGTCCACGATAAGCCCGAAAGAGTGGTCCACGGTCGAATTATGTAATTCGTTTCGTCTGGGCGCCACGCGATCGCGGGATCTTCTGGTTAAAAACTGGAATAAATTTCGAGCATTATTTTCGACAACAAATTGGAAAATTCGAAACAAATTGTGGGCAGTATTAAAATCTACGACACTTTATTACTATTTCAAGATATAATAAGCTATGAAGCGCCTGTGGTCGTACGAACGAGAATCATTTGAACCGTATGCACACCATTCTTCTCGGTTGTCAATGATAAACAGCATTGCGCTACCGTGTAGGCCTGTCAGACTCGTTTCAGCCCGTGGTTCAATTTGCTCTTCGCTACAAACGCTTCGACCCGTTTCTTGCATCGAATTTTTACGATTCTGAAAATCGGGCGCGAAAGTTGAAACACAGGTATTATCGGGACTCGAGGAAAGGAGTATGGAAAACGCGATGGATCGTGGGTTCCGTGGGGTCCTTGACCAAATTCTCACGCGAGGGAAAGTCTGTGGGAGGCCTAACGCGAACTTTTGCAGGGGACCCGTACGAGGATCACAGTCGGGTTAACATAAGCGGCTGCGACACGCCGCCGTGTCAACTGAAGCGCAGAACGAAGGCAACGTTCGAACAGAAGTTCACCGTCGACCATGACGTCAAGAACGTTACGAACGCGGTGTACGCGATCATTCTGGGCGTTCCTTTGCCATTCGTTGGCGTAGACGGGACCAGCGCGTGCGAGAGCATCTTCAATATGGACGGAACCGCCGCCGGATGCACGCTGAAGAAGGACGTCGAGTACAACTACAAACGGGAATTCGATGTGCTGCAAATCTATCCCACGGTGAGCCACTCGAACTCTTCGAACCGCGTCGCGAAAGGACCTCTCCAATTTGCTCCCCGAACTTGGCGAAAAATAAGACGAAAATGTTGGGGAAAAATTGACCCATAAATGGTTCGTTAAAACGTCGCGAGGAAAATGTAAAATTTCTGAGGCGAGAGGAAGATCTTCTCAGCGCGTGTCACGCGTTCCGTTAGGAAATCCTCGAGCGATTCCCGGCGCCAAGAATCGCGTATTTGCACAGTTCTCGCTCGAAAGTACTTGGAAGATAAACTGCGTTCGGTCGGTGAGTTAGTACGCAGGTGAAAGTGAATTTCAGAGATGAGAATAACGAGTCGAAGGCAACTTCTCATCCGTTACGAAAAGAAACATCTGTTCGCGGGTAGGGGATTTAATATCTGAGAATGCGCGATTGAAATTTCAGTGGGAATAAACGCTGAGAAATCCTCTGTAGCGAATGCGGTTGCTTAATTAGCTGCAATTATCTTTTATTTTTCTAACAATCTTGCCTCGATTGTCGAGACTCGAGATAGGTGGTAGCGATAGTAGTATTTTATAGCGATACGTACAACTTTAATAGTGATTGTTTGTGTAACGAGTAGGGGACCTTGCCCCATCGTTAAATATGTGAGTAAGATAAGTCGCGATTTCTATTCTTGTTTGTGTTCCCTAAAATAGCCTAATCGTTGTTCCTCTTTCATGCTTGAATGAAATTGGAGTATCGAAAGTTGGCAATGCAACGACGACTATGGAAATATTGAAGAAGGCAAAACTAGAACAATCTTTGTTAAAAGGGAATCAAATTTATTTTGCATCTTTTCCATTAGTCAAAACATACGATCGGAGTGATTCTATGCGTATAAACAAATCCGAAAATATAAATAAAACTTATTTAGAAGATGTTTAGTGCTCCAGTACTAGTGCACTCGACTATCTCCAGCTTTTATTTTTATACTAATAGTTCACGATAGATGCAAACTGTGCATTTATTCACGATTTTATTTACCTTACTCAGCAAATTGTTGCAAATCTCGAGTTTGTTATTGAAACAGTGCACTCAGAACGCAGTGCAGATCTTTGCAATTCTCAGAAATTCTCTAGCACGATTAAAGAATCGATGGATCCATGTCGACCATGTCGGTTACATTTTCGTCTTATTTCCAGCATAAACAAAGTTCGTACGAAATTCGCGGAATGCTCTGTGCAACAATTGACTCCCGTGCGTAGTCTCTATCTCGTCGCGGAGTTAAAATTACCGAGAAGCCACCCAATTCGGGCGTAGATTCGCACATCGTTAGTTTATCGGTTCGATAAACAAGAGTTTATCGTAACGACTAGATCGGGGCTAATAATATCGTAATTCGTGGCACGAGCGTGGACCTATCGACCGTCGTCGCCTTATCGTTATCGCGCGCGTCTAAGATTATGGGAATATCGCGACAGTATCCGCGAATCAGTTTTTCCTCGTTACCCGATTGTTTGTTTTCCAATTTTGCTCGTCGTCGATCCTTAACGATCATCGTTAGCAGTGTGTTGTAAAACTGTACGATTTTTCCCCGCAGCTTTCCGTGAATATTCATTACGCGTTGATGGAGGGAAACAACACGATCACTTGTTTCGAAGTGCGTGCGAAGATCATCAAATGATAGGAGCTGCTCGATCATTTTGGGAGAGCTACCTCCGTGGTTTCCAGGAGCCGCGAAGCTGTGCCTCTATATACGAAAACATCCGTACAATAAGGTAGACAACGTGAAAGAGGGAGTGTTCGATCAGGGAAAAGGATTTTTCCACGAATAGAACTAGTTTCACGTAGTCTTGTTTATCGACGAGCTTAAACAGTATATAGTGCGTAAGCATAATTGTAATTAGTAATAAAAACCTTTTATAGATAATTGGGTAGTTCAGCATGTGGATATTAAGTGGGAAAACAAGTTAATCGCCTCGATCGTTTATGGGCGTTTCGATCATCCGGATGGACGTTACTCGCGATAGGGCAAAAATAGCCAGTGAATAATTAGAATTAATTACCGAGAGTAATTGTACATATTCATTAGAAACGACGGAACGGCAAAGGATGATAGCTTTCATAAAAATCATACAAGCCATAAATATTGATGATGGATAGAGAGCCTGCAGGGTACAAGGATTATAAAAAAGTTAAGAGACTTGGAAAAACATGAAAGGATGAGAATCAATTATCTAAACTGTTATGGCGGATCTTCCAAAGTTCAATTGCGTCTTATTCTTGTCTGTGAATTCTAAGGATTACGCGTAGTTACGCTTGTAATTAATTACGATCGTAAAAAGTTTGGTAATTCGACTGTGGTTTAGATTTGCGAATTGTTTACTGGTACAGGTTTTCGTGATAATTCGTTGTTAGAGAAACGCCGATAACGTAGAAAACTTTGTCAAGTTGGTAGCTACTGCCACACACGGATGGCCTGGAAAATGCATTCGTTGCATGGATCGCTCCGACGATATGGAAAACCTAACGCAGAAAAATGCAGAACTTTGATTAATTTGGTAAGGAAATCCTATTCCGGGTGAAATTTTTCGAAGCAAAGAATATAGTATTTGACAAGGTTTTGAGTAATATAATGCAATTGCAATTTAAAAAATTTCAAACAGATGAAATAACTCGTGATCCGTTCTGAATTATAAAACGAAATTCTATTTCACGTTGAAGAAATCAAAGTTGATCTCGATAACAGTACGAAACGTTTATAATTCGGAAAGTAAAAGTTTCGGTATTATTTTCGAGCCACGACTCGTTCCTTCTAAAGGATGACCATTTTATAAAATTTGTAAAAAAGGAATGGAACATCTGGAAGCATTTACAAACGGTACACTTCGAGAGCAACGGACACCGGAAATGTGTCTCGAGCGTATTCAGCGTCGGAAATACGGGAATGCGGTGTAATGGTCGCGTTAATGGCGTTGTTTCGCGTAATATAGTTCGATCGAAGCTCGATGATTTGCTATCGAAGCTCGTACCATCGAATTAAATGATAGTTTTCTCTCGACGACGCAGAGATTGAATCGAACGCAGCAACGAAACGTTCGTGCGGCTATCTTTGCGCAGAAATCGACGCAGGATCGATGTTATTCGAACCCTTTGCGCTTTCGTATTCCTTTACATCCTAGTCGGCGCAAAATTAGTTTTCCTCGATAACCGTGCACAACTTTATATTTTGTCCGATTTTCCAACAAAATCTTCGTTTAAATTAATGTACTCGTACGAGGTATGCGGAATATTCGATCGAAGCGTGGACAGATTTATCCGAAAATAGACTTTGCGTTAATGATTCCCGAAAGTTGATAGGAAGTTTTAAATTGAATATTTTGCCCAACATTTTCGTTGGGATTTGCGACGACCAATTCGATGGTGGATCCTCCTTCCCATGTATCGGATCGTTGTCATTCCGTGGGATTCAGTTTTGATTTATTCCGTTTCACGTTTCGCAGATTTCCAGCATTTTTTCCGCGCTCGAATTCTGTGTAAACGAGTGCAATGCCCGGGATTCTTGCGCAGAGACGTAGCCTGGTGCACATTTGCCTCGCGCTTAAAGCTTCGTTAATGAAAATTATATTGCGCTTCGAAGTCGCGTTTTCCCAAAAAAGAAAAAATCATCTGCAACGCTTCGACGGGCTACGTTTACGAATAAAAATTGTTTTCCCCCGGCCAGGCTCTGTCGTCGATCGACAACTTGTTGCAAAACACCGTCGAACGATCTTAAATTTTGGCGATCGGTTGTTTTTACAGCTCGCCAATGAGATCGTCGACGGTTATACGGCGAAAGTATTTATTCGGTGTGCATTTCTCGTTTCGTCGTAGAAACGGGGATACCCGTACCGATAAAATCGATTCGTTCTCTGTCGCGGAACGTGCAACGGACAAGGCGAATTGAAAAACGTAGAGGGGGGGAAAAAAAGGTAACGAACGATTCCGTTCTGTATCGCGCTCGACATGAACGGGACGCGAGAGATAGCAATATCGCGGTATAGATTTAATTCCGATGAGATTGAGAGTCGACGGTCGTAGGAAAACGGATATCCAGGTGGCGACGTGGCGCAGATACGTTTACGTACGGTTACAAAGGGTTGAAATTCCGCGGTGATTAGTCCTTTGTCGTTGTCGGTTCCTTTATCGAGCGGTGGCCTCGACGTTCGTAACGAGTAAAATCATTACCCCGAAAAGAGGGCGGTGAAGGGTTCCCGCCACGGCCGGGGGAAACCCTTTTCGCGTTTTTACACGTACAGACGCAATCGCGGGCGTACGACACACGCGCGCACGCCAGCCCCGAGTAAGCCATTCCCTCGTCGAAAAGATAGCTTTCAGAAAGCGCGAGTGGCATTCCTGCCTTTCAGGAGCTTTTAAGATGACCATGATCCGTGACACCAGAGTCGGAGAGCATCTGCTTCCTCATCCGCCTCTTTCGCCCGGAGGTCTCTCACCCCATTTCGATCTCTTCCGTCCCCCGCCGCGCCTCGCCCCCGCGTCTCCTACCACGGGTCCCTCCGTCGTTTTCATCCCTCCTTCTGGCCCTCTTAAACCACTATAAACTGTCTTCGACACCGAACAGAAAGCAAGCACTCGTCCCCGGACGACCGAGTACGCGCAAGTACCTAAACGCGACCATCGAAAGCTCTGTTCGAATCGGGCCGAGCAGTGTCGGGTCGTGTAAACGCGCCACGCTCGACCGTCTATTTCGTTACCAGGAAACGTTCCAGGACAAATTTAACCACCCACGATTAGTATCCGACGTACGCGACGCATTTTACCCGTAATATTCGCGATAGGAAATACTCTTGATCTACAGTCGCGGATGCTCAACCGTTCGTCGTTGTCTCGTGAATAAATCGAACGATCGGTAACCGAATTGGCGAGGAGGACACATTTAACTTAGCCTTTCGATCGCTATGACCTTTTCCGCGACGAAGGATCCTCCGCACTCGAGTCTGCGAATCGAAATAGCTCGCTTGTACCTGCACGATCTATTTGAAAGTCGTTGACGTTGCTCGAGGAATTATTAAGTACGTGAATTTGTAATTATCGAAGTGGAAACGTCAATTTGGGTTTTGACGTCGCCTCCAGCGAAAATAAAATAAATATAATTTGCTTTCGTTTGCGCCGGACGAGTTGATTTACGCGTGTTTTGGAAATATTTAGATGCAGAGCTTTTCAGGTTTCGTGCTTGCACGTACACGTGTTGGACGTACACTTCGTATAGGTTGGTATTGTGGATGCGCTAGAACCTCGATAATTGCAGGAAAACGAGGCTGAAACTTCCTGCAATGATCGAAGTTCATGCAATAATCGAGGTAACCAATTCAATGAGAAGTTCCCACTTGCACAGTATATCTCTACTACTATTTACTTACCCCTTCAACTTCACTCGTTGTTAAGTGACTATCCCTACAGCTCGTCAACGTAATGCAACGAGCGAGGCTCTCGTGTAATAATCGAACTTATAATAACCGTTATCCCGCTGTAGTAAACTTTGTAAGAAAACACGTTCGTTCCTTTATCTGCTGTAATCTATAGGTGCAAGTTTTCCCTGCAATAATTTACTCCGTCAAACATTTTCTCAGAGCGTTAGTTCTTAACGATTTTTCACTGGTTTTCGTGTTCCTTACTCGTACGTATTTTTATATGAGAATAGAGGGAACCATGGTACAGTGCATCATGGGCAAATGTAATTTTAGTTATTTAGATTTATTTTAATTTTCTTCTATTTATGTTCCTCGGTTTCATAATAATTCAAGGGCCAGCAACCTAATCCTCGAGGGTAGTCTCAGAAACTGGGGCTATTATAATGCAACGCGAACATCGAAATATTGAATTAATACGTTTTAGCAATTCCAAAGTGTTTCTCTCTCGGACTGTGCGTGGAAATTTATTTTTGGTATTACGACATCCATAATTGAGCACAATTTAAAAATGCGAGAACCCTCTTAATGAATAACAGAACGAAAACACGTTACCGTTGAATTACCCAATTCTATTATTTTTTTAGGAAATGCTTTCAGACGCGCGAGATTTTTGACCACTCGCGGTCAAATCAACGCCCGGTATTCATACTTTTTAAGCTCGTTCAGCTTTGTTCCAACGAGTTTACAGTTTCATACACGTCCAGATATACATTTTCCCTCGCAGTTTTTCTTTTTAAACTTTGAAAAGCAGAGTCCCCGACAATGCTGGAAACGGATCTATATCACCGGGGCATCGATCCGCGATGCAATAAATTTTCAACTTTACTCCGTGGTCAAATTAACTGCCCCATGGCGTAATAATTTGTAACAGATTTGTTTGTGCGAGCGGAAACAGGTCAGAGGGTTTCCATCGAAACAACTAACCCGGGGTTAAACGATTGGCGTTCGAACGATAGAAAAAAGTGCGATCGCTATTCGCCGGGGCCGCCACGCTATTCGAAAACGGTGATTCAAACGCGAGAAATGATCACCTTAAAAGTGCATAATTTTTATATTATTTTATGTTAAATGAAAATTAAATTATTCATATTCTGTTCTGATAGTAACGTGTCAATCGACCCCAACTATATTACAAATTTTCACTAAGAATGCGTTTAAAAGTGCCAATTAACGATTCTATATTTCTTCCCTATTTCGATCTTAAAGAAAAAGTACTTATTTGCATGAGAAAATTGACGACGTCGAGAAGTCATTTTCGTTCAATATAATATTTGTTTATCGAGTAACTGTATTGTTGAGATTTGGACATATGTACTTCGATTATAGTATCGTATCATATATTGAAAATTTGCGATAATCGGTACGATAGATCTCAAATTATTTAACAACTATTGACCCCTGTCTTCCGTACAAACTTAATGAGACCTAAAATGATCGAAGATGATCCGAATCGCCTTTG